TCATCGCTCATATTGATGTATATGCATGTATAAACAATAATTATTATTTTTAGGTAAATGGTAAATATTAGTAAAGGATATTAAAAAATTGTAGACGTGGGTACCGGACACATCTTTTGGGTCATCTAGTATATATATATATATATATATATATATATATACACCTGTATAATTATGATAAAATGTTTTCAGACATCCATCTAATAATAAGAAATTGTGCGGGGTGACTGTATACAATTTCCAACAAAATAATACCAACTAATTTACTCACGTGAACCGAGAATGTCCGGTGGCCAGTGGAACCCATGATTCTTAATCAGATGCTTTGTGAGCTCAGAGCCGCGTATAAATCTCTGCTTGCACTTATATACATGACAGCAGTATGCAAACTGAGCATTTTCTTCAATATCAGAATCTGGATCAACTTCACTCTGATTTTCATCATTGCTTGAGGTCAAACGAGCTCTTTGATGGGTCAGAGTGTGTTTTGTCAAACCAGGCAGAGAGCGACAACGGAAATCACAATCCTCAAAGTCACATGCATATTTCTTGACGTCATCATGTGTGTTCATGTGCAATCGTAGATCACGTTTGGTAACACACCTAACAAATAATGATTAGTTTTTATTATAAGAAAGTATTTAGTGATACAATTATTAACTCTTAATAACTCTCTATAATAATAATAAGTTAATAATGTAGCAGTAAGAAAATAGAATGAAGTGAATATACCACACTCAAGAATAGAATAATATTAACCAGACAATTTGAAAAATAAAGATTATATAAAATATTAATTTTATGATGTTATAGATTGTTATATATTGAATGTACTACATTCAAGAATAGAATAATAGCATTTGTTAACAGGGAAGATTTAGACAAAGGGAGATTATTTGAAAAGAGAAGTTGAACTCAGATTATTTAAAGTGCTCATATGAACTAGATTTAAATATTAATATTATGTTATATACAAAAAAAAACATAAATAGTGAATAATCCAACAGACCGAAGCATATGAATAGAAAGCAAAACAATTACAAAGTTTATTGCACAAGAGTCTTAGAATATTAGTCCATTACAGTCTAATCATGTTATATTTATACTTAGTCATATATTATTTAATATTTACCAAGTAGAATATATGTTTATGATATTCAAATATTTATGTTATATATTGTGATGCCAATGCTAGAAAACCAATATTGGCAAAATCAATATTGGTCAGACCAATATTGGCAACTACAATTTAGTGCAGTTAATTCAAATGAGTTTGAAAAAATTCTATTCGAAACCATAGGGTTTAGATTTAATTGAAAGCGGTAACTTTGTTTTTCAAATAAACAGTTGAACATTTTATCTAAATATCTATATTTCAATTTCGATTGATTAAGTCAATTCTTACACATTTTGGAAAGTTCATGCAACTTGCCTTAAGGCTAAATGCCACTTTCAACTAGTTTATTAATTATTTGAATTATAATTGAAAATGAAATACTCACGCATGATCGCAGAGGTAACATTTAAAAACTCTGTCATCGACATGGCGATATCTAATATGTTTGGCCAAAGCAGAAGGTGTTGTGCATGTCATATCACATAATGAACATTTATAATTATTAATATGCAAAGCATATGATCTCGTAATAAACGGTTGGATGGAAAAAATTTACTACAATTTCTGCAGAGAAAGTTCTTCTTAGCACAAACTAAAATGAATAAAATAAACTGATTTTTATAATATAAAAAAATAATATTGAATAAATATTATAAGATTAAATAATTTCAATAAAAAATAGTTCATTTTAAATACTTTTTTCATTTCTTAATGAAGTTATTTCAAAGAAATTGTTAATATATTTTTAATACTTCATCATTTTATCATTTTCATGATTTTAGTTATTTTTTTTACTTTCCCTTTTCACTAATGAAAAGGAGTATTAGAATATCTGTACTTAATAATCTTGAACACAAATATAAAAAATTTAAGTATAATTTATTATATTAAATATGAGTAAACTGAATTATTTTGTAATAAAATATCTAAAAATACTTACGCTCAATAGGAATTTGCCTTAAACAATGATCTGCTAATTTGGTATTATTAGAAAACATAGTTCCACAATGAACACAAGCTACAACTTTTTCTCCAGAATGAGCACGACAATGTTCTGATAGATGAACACATCTTGCACGTTTAACTTTACATCCTAGAAACATTATAAAATAAATGAATTAGAATGAATTAATAAAAATAAAGAGATCATTATTTTAGTATACCTCTCCAGCCACAATAAAAATTAGTATCCTTCTTGTTAGTAGATTGGCTTGCTAGGACATGACACTTTATGTGGTCATAAAATTCCTACAAATAAATTTCTATTGTAAATCATTTTTATATTTATTAAAATAAAATTAATATTTCAAATGGTAAAAAACAAAGCAGAATTATTTTATGAATGTAAAATATATAATTATTCATGTAATTTAATTAATATATATATATATATATTATATAGATATTTTCTATATATATTTATATAGATATATACATATAAATATATTCTATTATTACCTATATATAATCTTATATATATATATATTGAAAAAATATTGTGGAATATATCAGAAAAGAGCAGAGCAAGTTTTGCAGAACTTGATACAAATAAAAAAAAATGCTCACATAATATTTGAATAATCTTCACTTATCACTTTAATTTACTTATACTTAATAATATACATAAAAACCTGTGCGCTTGTAAATTCATCTACACAATCACCCCAACCGCATGAAAATGTTAGTGAATCAGGTATTATATTCCTATTAACGGAATCATGTGTACATCTGGGTAAATCATTTAATTCTCTTAAATTAAAGCCAACTGCTTTTAATTTTGTGTGATATGCATGAAAATTTACATGTTTCACAATAGTATCGCTACAATCAGTTTCAAAGTAGCATACATCCCAAAGGCAGACGTAAACTTCTGTAAAGGTAAATTAAATATAATAACTATAATATATTGATATATAAATATAGATATAATTTAAATCTGTACATTATATATATATATATATATATATATATATATATATATATATATAATAACCATTGGTGCTGATATTGAATATCAATAATATCAAAAATAATGTGATTATTACTATTGAGTATTGCTAATAACGAATGATACACATATACATAAATTTACTCATGTATGTAAACAATTTAAATAACTGTTACAGATCAATAACTTTTTACCATTTAATAGATGGGTCAAATTTGATATGTCTAATATAATTTCTAGGCATTTTTCAGGCGAATATCATAGATAAGAATGAATTTATATAATAAGGATTTATTAATTGATATGATTTAGGATTTAAAGCATTGTAACTTTATTAAATCAATTATATGTTTTGTTTTTAATATTCCATAATAGTATTTATTGTGTATAAGTGTCCATCCATCTCTATTTAATTCATTATCTTCAAATTTACTCTATGAAAGAAGATATGCTTTTTATACAACAGAGATTTACATGACCCGACTTAGAAGGTCAGAATTGAAAAATGTACATCTCTGGGCTCGTTTTTTAAGTGTTAATATATTTAATAAAGTTGGAAACACCCAGAAACATAAACGGGCAAGAACAATGAAAGTAACATACCCAGATAAATGTTAGAAAAGAATTTAAGATAGATTCTAGCAAAGCATAAGTAATTACCTTTATTTTCTTCATTTTTCCTCAAAGCAAGTTCAGGCATGTGGTGTTTTACGTGCAGCTGAAATTTACTATAATCTTCAGTAATAAAGTGACATTTTTTCCATTCGCATTCTAAGGTAAGTTCTACTTCTTGTATGGTACATTTCTTTTTGGGTCGTGGATCGGTGGTAGGACGCCTTTTACGTTTTGCTGTATCATTTTTAATTGTATTATTTTCTATTATTTTTGGTGTTTCATCTTTAATTTCATCATAATCATTCTTAATATCGTGCTGTTCATTAACCCATTCTGAACAGCGAGTTAATTTAAATTCCTGATTGGATTGGGAATTATCATATGAACATAAACTCTCACGACCATTTGTCGTCATTATTTCGAGTTTGAAACAATACTTTCTGTGATATTTAACATTTAACCATTATTCATCGTCTTCAACATTTGACAGAACTTTTAAGCCAACAGAATGTCAGTCAACAGCTCCTTTCGATAATTCGATTTTTTGATTATATCGATAATTTCCGGCCAAGATCGATAATTTCCGTTCAACCGCTTATCGAATTCTAACATTAATGAAGTTATTCAATTTTTTAATATGTCAAACGGACAAGGCTCGTGACAAAATTTTTAGTGTAATATATAAAAAAAAACAATAATTAAAAATGATTTCGAATGATCTTAAAGATTGTTTGAAAGAAGTCGTGGAAGAAGATAATTTTATCAAGACAAAAAGTAATTCCATAATGCATGCTCTGAGGTCAAAGATTTTATATAAGCAAGACAAACCTGAAGATCGAGTGATGGCTGTTGAATATGAATTTGATGAATTTATCCAGGAATTTGAACATAGATTGAATGAACTCCGAAATAAATACAAATCTCTCAATGAGAATTTTTCACAAAAACTAGCAGAGGCAAAAAGAATGGTAGAAGAATCAGAAAGAAGGCTCCAGGAAAACAATAATGAAGCACAATAATACATTTGTAATTATGGATTCTAAAGCGGCTTTGATAAAATCATGTATAACTTCAGTAATACTTAAACAGTCTTTTATTCTTTAATTATATTTACTACGTTTATTACTATTATTTGTAACAATAAAATTTTAAAGTTCAAAATAATAAAATTTAGTATATTTCTAAATTATGTACAATTGTAAAACTCAATAAGGATAATTAAAGTTACATTCAACCTTTTTTTATACCATAGTCTATTTAAACATTTAATTTATATCTATCTATACATACTGTTTGGATTAAAAAGTATCATGTCGCCTTCATATAATGTGCTTTCATAATAAAACATCAAAAAAAACGATAGAAGATAGAAAATCTTTTTATATACAAAATTTTGGATGTAAAAATATAGAGCTGTAGAAAACATCGTCATTTAATTGAGTTACTTATCAAATACGTATATAAATTTGATAATCTAATAAATAAATCAAACTACAATCACTGCCACAAAAGGCACATCATCTATACCCACTTTAAAATTGATCACAAACATATTGCGCAATGTTTAATATTTACAATTTCATTATAAAGATATGTTTTGAGTTAAAAATTACCTTCAAATCTTCTCAACACCCACCTAATTGATTACATCATGTGACCTTTTTAGCTTTTGCAAATAATTTGTAAAAACTAGCTAGCATGTCTGACATGAAAGTTTACAATATACTCAGAATTTGTCCTCTGAACACTAATGGCAAATGGTTCATTAGGATGAAATGTAAAAGCTACCAATCTTCTAGTGGCTGCAGGTGGTGTTTTAGCAACAGCTCCTGCATATATTCGAAACTTGAGAAGGCCAGAATCACGTGCATAAAATCTGAAATAAGAGAAAAATAATTTATCAAAGAGCAATATAATAGAAATATATACTGTTATTTGAATGTTTGAGTCATATCCTTTGTGACTATGTTGTTTGTTAGTAAATAAAATATACTATAATTATTTACCTAATAGGATATTCCCCGCAAGCTTTAGGTCTCTCCATAACTGATACCCATTTGTCATCATAGCTAAACAATGACAAATCCAGATAAGGAGAACTGCTATATGATTGTGCGCTTATTGGTAGTTGTGCAAGAAGTCTTTTTGTAGCCTCTCTTTCACCTCCATAACGTGCACTTATTATTGTATTCTTAAATCTAAATAATAAAATCAATAAACATCAAATGTAATACTGAATTATTACATTGTATGTAATTGTTTATTGCTAATTATGTGATGACAACATTCACATAATTTATACAATAAATTTAAGAAATGAAATATATGTACCTCTGCTGTATCACTTTTGCGTGTATATTATTTGAAGGGGAACATGTGAATTGTGCATCACAATGCACTCTAACATTACGAAACATATCACAGAAATTTTCAAAAAGCTCCAACAATTGCTGAGATGTATTTTCATATACAGCAATAACTAAACTATCTGTAATATTGTATATTACAAAAAATGATATCTGATTGTTTGGCTCATTACTCTTTTGCGTCACAACTTCTTCACTAGTGTACTTAATCAATAGATGATCCTCATTCAGTAATTGCATTTTCCACATTCTCAAAGATTTAAATTGTTCAAAGTTTTGATAAAACTTTCGCAAAGTATGGTAGTTTTTCATTTGCAAAGACAAATTCATTGCTTGCTTATATAAATAAACAAGTAATCTGTGTTTCAAAGAACATATAATATTTTCTTTGAAAGCGTATTGTGTAGCATATGAACCATACACTGCCATTATTTGAAAATTATCATCTTCATAGCAAAATCTACCAATAGTTCTAATTTCAATAAACATTCCATCCACGACTTGAAATATATGTATCAATTGATGTTGTATAGAGAGAATTGCCAGTTTATTATTGTACAAATATAATCCTTGATTGTGTGATAACATGATCTTATCAACTTTAAAATGCCTAGAATCACACAATCTGCCTTCAATCATGTCGATTATGTGGAGTGAATAATCCTCTAAGGGAGATCTGAAAGAATAAATAAATAAATTAAATAAATATATATTTATAAAGTATAAATATATATAAAGTATAAATATATATTTATAAAGGATAAATAATATTTAAGTAAAATCAATTACCTTAATGTTGGTGTCACAGCTTCATTACTTGTATATATATCATAAAATGCAGGACGAAGATCGTCAGGAATAAAACATGCAGAGCCCACAATAACATATCGTCCATCATCAGTAAACAAACTACATTCTCTATTTAATTGTTTACCACTTTGGCAAACATTAACTACATGCTTTATCTGTAAATTACATAATCAATCAAAGTTAATAGTATTTCAATCATCAATATTCTTTTAAATTATGAGATAGCAAAACAAATGATTGCTATAAAGATATATTACATTGAAATAACATCGAGATATAGATTTATTACCTTAAAAAACCTATCAAACACTTTGTTCCTGATCTCAAAAGGACTACCTTCATTTTTGTTCGGAACATAGTCTCCCGTGCAATCCTGGATCAAATCTGCAGCAGCACCTGCACCTTGATATTGGTAGACTTCTACTGATGTTTGATCCGCCGAAAAAGCAATAAAATGTTTTCCATCCGGACTAAATTTTCTTAGAAAACAAGGCGGCTTTTCAACATTGACGATAGTTAAATTGGGAAAAACATTCTGATAAAATTTTCGAGTCATATGAATTTGAGTGCCTGGTTTTCTATCGCCAAATATTTCCCTGTTAATTAATCGTTTGACAATATTTTGAGGATGAATTTTCCTAGGTTTAATGCCTTCATCTTTCGAAGTTTTGTTATATTCTTTCATATTAAGGTAACTTATGTAGCAAATATTAGAAGGAATCTAATGTGTTCGCTTCATTCACAAGCTACAAATAATTTGCATTTAATCATTATTTTATTAAATAACACCGCAAACTTGATACATAATATACATTCGACCCATTTTTTATAATAAATTTGTAAAAGTAACCTAAAATGAAACGTCAAACGATGTCAACATATACAAATGCTTACACATGTGGTTTCTAACCTGTGGGGCGCATATAAATGCTTCCAAAACACTATTTTCAAATTGATGTAATTATTTTTTTTGTATAACTAGTGGTGTATGGTATCGTGCCTTAAGGCAATTTGCTGGAACTTCCCGTACCAAAAGTTTTTTTTTTTTTAAGATTATTTTTTTTTAATCTTTTGATTTTTGAGAAATTTTAAATTTTTGAAAAAAAAAATGACCTTTTGAAAGAAAATGTTTTTTTTTATTTTAAAATAATTTTACCTTGGCCAAAAACTAATCAGCACGTCTCCTTATCAATACAAATCGAATGTTTTTTTAATTATTCAAATCGGTTGATCGGTGTTCCCGAAATCGTCGACAAAAATTTGTATCCGCACACACACACATCCATTTTTTCTAAGGTATGCCAAAATATTCAGAAACCTTTGAAACGTAAAGATATATAAAATTTTTCATTTTCGATTTTTTTGCGATTACTATAGCTTACTCTACGGGAAGTTAAAAAAAAATAAGGAGACCGAATAATAAACCGAAATAAATAATCTATTTAATTGATATTTTTATAATTCATATATAATTTACCTGTCCACCTGTCTACTTCTCTACAATTTTTTCCCGTCTACCTGTTTGTCTGTCCGCTTAAGTCTACACATCCACCTGTCTGCCTTCCTACTTGTTCACCAGATTATCTGCCTATCAGTTTGAAAGTCTACCTGACACATAGCCATGTATTAGCTGTTAATGAATTATTCAGAAAATATTATTTGTTTTAATACAAACCAGTATTTTCATTTTATTTTTTTTAATAAAGTAAAACAATAAAACTTGAAAAATTAAAAATATTAATTCTTTTAATAACTATTGAACAAATTCATCACTGGAAAAATCTTAATACACAAAACATAATAACATTATTCTCTAAAGATAATTACAATATCTTCTGATTAAAAAAATTTAAGAACATAATAATAAATAGTAAAATATAGAAGAGTATTAAATGAATATAAAAATTCTATATACATTTGAACATTGAATCGGACACATTAATTATAAAATTAATCTGTATCCACATAATTATGTGCATATTTGATGCTATTATCATAATTACAAACTTGGCCAATAATTAAGGATTGTACTACCCATGTTGTAGACACTAATGGTATATCTAAATTTTGTGCTTGTTTTCTAACTTTCAGAGGGCAATCAGAATCAGTAACAATTACACTGCCAACTGACGTTCCTAAATCTTCATTTTCAATAATTTTTGTACTAGCACCAGCAGATTTACACACACGACCCCAGAACTTAAGAAAATTGTCATTATCGCTGCACAATAATATAAGAAAATCATTGAAGGGGTTGCTTGATAGTCTCATATATCTTTCTTTTCCTATTTGGTATCTAACATAGCACTTTCTTTCAATGGACCATCCGGCAGGCAAATCATACTCAAGTAATAATTTGTTTGATTTACAACAGTCAACAACCCAAGTATGGAGTACAGCTTTGATATTAGCTGCCAAACACTGAATATACTTGGCCGTGTGACAAGGTCTCGGTGCAATAAGAATGCAAGTACGGTATTTATTTTGTGGTATTTCTTCAAAGTGACTAAACACCAAACCTCCACCAGCCTCTAATTGGTGCCTCAATCTTTCTTTCATGAAAGGCACAGTACAATTTTCTGCATCAGTACTATATTCTGAATCAGTTCCACTCGCTTCACATGCCTCTTGTCTGGCCTGGAAAAGCAAAATGAATCAATAATAAAAATGAAAAACAAAACTAGTAGTGTATGGCATCGTGCCTTAAGGCAAATTGCTGCAACTTCCTGTACCGTAAAGAAATGATTGAGGAATATTGAATGTTTTCAAATAGATTATTATAAATATTGTAACATTGTCTAATATTTATAAGAATTATATGAACTGAATTTTAAAGTTGAAATTATTTGTTTAAAGTATATCAGAACAGAATTAAAATTAAAATCTGAATTATTTTCAATATACAAAAAAAAAAATTCTTGAAAAAAAAAATCCAAAAGCAATTATTTTGTTGAAACAAGCAGAAAGTTCTTTGAATCATTCAAATCGGACGCTTAGTTCTCTCCAAAACTGCCATTTTTTGTACATTTAGCTATGTATCTTCAAAATGGCTGGACCTGCCTTTGCCAAAAACTAATCACCTCTTCTCCCAATCATTACAAATTGAATGTTTTTTAGATCAATCATATCGGATACTTCGTTCTCTCAAAAACTCGATTTGTAGTTTGCCAAAAACTAATCAGCACATCTCCCTATCAATAGGAATCGAATGTTTTTTGAACTATTCAAATCGGTTGATCCGTGCGCCGGAAAACGTGGACGAAAAAAAAATGCAGACATACAATTTACACACACACATTTAAAAGATGAGTATAAAATCAAGTTAAGAATAACATTCTAGATCCTCCCTCCACGAAGTAATGCCTAACGGCGGTTTCCGTGGGGACTAGAGGCAAGTGTAAAGCGGAGGTTTTAGTCGGTATTATACCAGGGCAGTATTGAGTCCGACATACCCGGTCAAAAGACCTAGTCTGGGATGCACAAAAGCAATTCCTTCGCTATACAAAAAAAAAAACACACACATTCATTTTTTCTGAGGTATGCCAAAAAGTTCAGAAACCTTCAAAACATAAAGATATGCAAAAATTTTCATTTTACTATAACTATCCTAAAGAAAGTTAATGACAATTTATGGACTCACCAATTTCAATTTTTGTGAAACATCTTCTGTACATGTTAACAAGAAGCACTTCTTTTGAAAAAGCTTATTCGATGTAGGAATTGGACCTAGCAAGTTTACAGTATCTGGATCGCTGTTGTCATAAAGGCTTCCAGTCACTTTAGAAGTTCGCCTGCCAGACAGGCGCCCGCAACCTTTTACAGGAAACGGCCCTGTATCAGAAATATTATATATAATACATAATTTGTTACAAATGAGTCATTTATTATTTTTGTTACCTGTTAAAACACCAATAATTTTCTTGGGAGTCTTCTGTACTTCTGGTTCAACGCCATGAACTTCCTCAATAGGACCTTTAACAGAAGATGCTTCATCACACTCTGTAGTACTTGCAGGACTGGGAGGTTCGGTTATCGATCTATCACTGCTCTCACTGAACTTTCTCTGTTTACTTCCTCGACCTCCTGTTCTTTTATGTTTATTCAGCCCAGAGGAGCCTGCCTTTGGGGTAATAGCTTTCATTGTAACTTGGCGCCTGCTTCTGCAAAGTAAAAGTTGAATTGATATTGTAGAATATTAACTGATATTGGAAATTAAATAATACTGGAATTTGAAATAAATGCAAATAAAAAGAGAATAGATAAATTTCTTATAAAAAATAATTTAACTAGTTGTAAGTAGCATTTTTAGTAGATCTTCAAAAAAGAACTAAGCTAAAAAAATTGAATAAAAATATATTTAAGCATTACTAGATAAGTTTTAAAGCTAGAAATTATTACTATTATTATTGTGGCTTAATTGGTCATTTTCCTATTTTTTGCTCATTGAAAATAAATAAATTACCTTGGGCCATGTATTATATTATCCAAGCTCACATCTTGACCATTCATTTTCTTTGGTGTGCTATTACTTTCAACTTTGCTAACACTCGTATGAATTTCTTTTATACTTCTGGCTTGATCTTCCGTCAAATATATATCAGATGCCATAACAGATCCACTCTCACCACCATCTGTTTGGACAATGTATTTTACCCTATTCGATTCCTCCAATATTGATGTAACAATTGCTGGTACATACTCTTCTTCATTGTTCAACATAACATAAATAGATTGACCATGCAAGGGCAATATATTTTGTTCACCAAATATAATATACTCATTTAAAAGCGTTTTGGTATGATCATCATCAAATCGGATTGTGAATTTATTGTTATCTTTTACATCTACAACTCGACCAGCATAATATTTTTTATCTACCCACCTGGCTAAAACTCTTTGCATTATTCTAGGATCTTGTTCTGAACTTTGTTCTGATGCAGTAGTATTTAGTGATGGCGTAGCTGGTGTAACTCGAACTGGAATTTTTTCTTTTTTAGGTGTCATGGAAAAATTGGTATTAGAAACGGTTTCAACATATTCACTTATCATCTCTGGTGAATTGATTAGTTCATAGTGATTGTCCACTGCTTCATTGATAAGGGATTTCATTTTAATCATTGAACAGTTATCAGACATAGTGCTTTTATCCTCTTTTTCATTTGATGAATTAAAATCATCTGAAGATAAATCACTACATGCTACCTTGAAAATTTCTTTAATTTGCTTAAACAATTCTTTATGTCCTTTAATGCCTTGTTTATGTACATCAGTCTTTCTTAACGGTACAGCTGGTATCACAAAATTTTCTGGAGCTTTCGTACTATAGACACTGCTTGTTGTGCTAGATGACATTGTTGAAATACGTTTATGATCAGATAATTGATAAACACCAGTACTAGTAACACTACCAGGTGAACTGTTTTGACTCCAATCAGCATTATAATCTAAATATTTTCGATCAGTTCGATTTATAACCAAAGAAACAATGTCATTACTTTCATCAAACCTTGTTATCAACTCAAAAGTAGGTACTTGATCTGGAGAAGAAGAACCTTCAATGTTCAAACCTTCTGAATTATTTAGAAATAAAGATTCTCTTTTATGAAGCTCAGGTGTTTCATTTCCAGAGAAACTAGCCATATCCGAATCATCTTTTGTTGTAAGGTTTGCTGAAGAAAAACAATTGTTTGAAGAATTCATCAAAACACTTTCACCATTAATTAATGTTCGACTATTACTGGTATCTAATGATGTTTCTGGAATATTTAATGAAATACTTGAAGAATCATTTTCTTGACAATCTCCAGAAAATGAAATTATGCTTGTTGACATATTATCCTTATTATCAATGCTATCAGAAATTCGTTTTATTTTTATAACATCAGAAGTTTCATCCTCTATCTTCCGTTTACGATTCATAGTTTCGGGTACATCATTTGATTTTGCACTTGTATCTTTAGTAATTAAATCATTGGCTTCGGAAATAGAAGTATTATATGAAGAATTAGTGCTTGCTAAGTGTGTGTTCTCTGTTGGTGAAGTGTTGTTGAGATCATTATTTGATAGCTCTGAAGAAAAATATGTACAAATTGATAAAATACACAAATAATATATACTTATATATATAAATATGCAAATTGCTTATAAATTAAAAATATGCAAATAATTATTTAATATAATATTTTAACCCATAAACTAAATATAGTTGTTTAGAATGCATAACTAATTTTAAAACTAATATATCACCAAATTACTATTTGAAAACCCATGGACCACTGAATAATAATTATTTGCCTTTAAAGTAGTTAGTAGTAAATATCAGTAAATATTTATATGCAAAGAAATTACATAATGAATAGTAAAAAGTTCATCTACTGTTACTTGTGACTAACCTGTTGATAAAGACGAAGCAGATGGATTCGAAGTAAAGGTATCTGTTGATGTCGCAGGATATAAATCAGTTTCTTCAGAAGTATCGGTTTGATTTTTATCAGTGCATGTTGTAATAGTGCCACTGCCTTTATCTTGATCTGTGTCTGTATTTTTTACTGTAGTCATATTATTTTCAGCATCATCTTGTTTTTCAGAAATTCCATTTTCTGTGACATCTGATAAATTTCCATTCATTGTAAATTTGTCAATTTCTTCAATCTGTGTATCAGCATCAAAATTGGTATCTAATTTCATGTCGGTATTCAATTTGTAATCATCAATTTGCTTCACATTTTCGTCAGAAAATGTTTCTGATAGGCCATCATTTTTCTTGGGGACTAAAAAGATTATAAACAATCAGTGTGGAATTAAATTTTTAGGTTCATTTCATGTGACGGTCTACAACCGTACAAGACATGTTTAGAACAATGTTGTATATAGCATAGAACATTTAAGCTGACATTTAAACTAACATAAAACAAACCATTTATAATGCTTCGTACCTGTTGGAATTGTATTTGAATCTGATTCAGTATTTATGTCATTGTGATTATTTTGTGTTAGATCTCCTTGTGACTCTTCTAAAAACAGTTTCATACTTTCACTTGATTCATTGGGCCCAACTAAAACAAATTAAAATTATTCATAAAATATGAATTTCTTTGGTTATATATAATTTTGTACAATGTACATGCAAATAACCTTATACTGAATGTTAATTTGAATTGATAATTAGATATGTTCCTTTTTTAAATGATTTATAAAGAATAAAAGTTTTAGAGTATAAGAATAAAATATGATATACAAAAAATTATAAAAATTATATTACATTGTAACTTCTTTTTACCTTGAGGTTGTTGACAACTTCCAAAGCTATTGTTCACAGAAGCTTCTATTTTAGTTCCTTCATCAACACTCACATGATCCATAATTACAACTATATAATTTACTATTTACTCATTATACACAAAATATTAAGAAAATATAAAAGATAATGGAACCAATATCAAACTCTGCTTGGAACGTATATAATAAAAAACTGTAATTATATTACATAAAAGAGTAAATGATAACTGTTGATTGTAAATAAAACATAAATAATTTTCAAATAAATATTCTTACAATTTGAAATTAATTTATCACAGACTGAATCTTCTTTGAACGCTTATAAGTAATTACATGTGGGTAAAATCTTCATAGGCAAAATTATAAAATTATAAAACTAAATACGTCAAAATTATCTTTATCTTGTTAAAAGATTGCCGGCAAATATGTTAAACGTGAAGCTTGGCGCATTTAGTTCATAGTGAAGTTGTCGCTGTCAATGACTTGATGGTCATGGATTATATAAATACAACGGATGATAAATAAAATTAACGGTTTTACTACATTTATCCAAAAAATGTAATTTAATATATAAAATTTTATTTTTTTAGCATATAAGATTATTATTTTTTATATTTAAATAGTAAGATCAAATATTATTGATATTACATAAAAACGATAATTATGGATAAAGATAATGATGAAACAGCTTTATAGTTAGTAGATTTATATTTAATTTATACTGATATTATATCTGCATTGTAGTTTAAAACCAAATGTTTAATTTTCAATAATCATCTAATAATATAGTATGAATCAATTATCAATTTGTTCATATGATAATATAAATTATAGTAATATTAACCAATTTCTTTTTTAAAAAAAACATATGCATACTTTATTTACAATAAATGTACAATAAGCAAATGTTCATATAATATAGCTTAAATAGACTAAAGACAAAAATATACAAATTTGCATACTCTCATCAGGCATTATACAATCATACATTATAAAAATAAACAGAATATCAACATTAATATTTTACAATCTGAACAAAAAATCAATGTGTAATTTAAATAAAAAACATTTTACTGTTCATACAGTATATAAACAAATCCCTAATTATCTTATAAATATTAAAACATTCTTTTAAATTTCAGCACAGTCATTTAAAAAATTGTTTTAGATCACCTGTCAATTGCACTGACACATCTTTTGATAATGTACATATTAAATAAGTTTATCCTCGGTCCAATGATCGCATACAGCGGTTATATTCTAATTGTGTTGTTTGTTTTTCTTAATTTGTTTATGAAGGCGCTTTGGTAATTTAAATAACCGTTCTTAAAAGAAAATCATTAGTTACTAATAAATCACTATATAATGAGGCATTCAAATGATGATAACTCAGTCACATCAACCGTCTTCCCAATTTAAATGTCAATCAGTATCAGAAAGCGCTTTTTTTCGCCGCTTTGCTTGTTTAGGTTTCACCACTTCCTCTTCCTATAAAATATAAAAAATAATTAAAGTTAAACAAATATTATTAGATAAATAAAGAAGATAATAATAATTCTAATTTCTATTTATTAAATAGAAAAGTTTACTATTTATGAAAAATTACTTGATAATTTAACTTTAAAATGCATAGTATATCAACATGCACGATATAATTTATATCGTGTATAAAATTTATGAATTTAATTCATTATTATGAATTTCTTCATTTAGATTCATTAATTTTAAATGCCTTGATCAAAGGTTAATGAATTAATGGTTGAGTTACTTATACATGAATTACATAGCACAATAGTAGTTTATTATTATTATTTGAACAGTGATCAGAACTGTTCTATGAAGAACAGGAGAGTCCTATGAGCCTTTGTGATGATTTGACTTAACCACATCGGTTTTATAGATTGCAACCCAAATAGTTGTCTTATCTCTACAGGATAATTTTTTATCATTACAATGTCTGTAATTCTGAGGAGTTTTTACTGATTCAGGGTAAAGACTATTTTCATTTCGGAAACATTATCTATAATTTCTTCTATCATATTGACATCAGACTGCCCATGATGGGTATCAAACTTGGAACCTCTGATTAAAATGCCATATAGCTCTAACCACTAATGTACCAGAGCCAATAAAGCTTAATAAAATGAAATTCGATATTTATAAATAATCCTCCAGAATAACATACTTCACTGGATTCCGATGAACTATCAGATTCTGCTCTGAAAACGTTTTTTCTGGACGTGGTTCTTGTTTGACCGCCAGCACTGCCCTTTTTCCCTCGACTGCTGACGCTTCTTGAACCGCCACGACTACCGCCTCCTGGTGGAGCACTCTCTTCTGGTTCAGCCAGCGCGAAAAGTTCGCTGAATTGTTTCTGTAAAATAGAATAATAATTTCAGAAATACTATAAAATATATTTGTTAACCAGATCTACTGAAGCAGCAACATATATCATTGGATTCAGAAAAATATATCTCCCAATCTTCAGAGAGATCAGAAAATCTGATGATAATGATAATAAAAGTTAAGAATGAAGAAGTTAAAGTTATAAAGAAGTTAAGAATATCATTATTACCTTTTGTGATTCTGAACTATTTGTGTGGGCTTGTTGAAGGGCTCGTTGCACAGTGTCCATGGAGTACAAATTTGTGGTAGTTCCCCCGCTGCAATTTCTGCAGCAAAGGCGTAAAACATCTAGATGTCCTAATACCTGTAAAAAATGGTAGAATATGAATAAATGTACATTCAAAATTAAACTAGGCGTAGGATTTTGCCTTAAGAACATATTACATCCCAATGTATGTGAATAACCAACTCATCGAATAAAAATCAATATATTATTTCAGAAGGTTTATTTATACACATAAATTATATATATTATTATAATACACATATATAAAACTAAATTATGTTAAGAGCGTTACTTGACCATTTTTCCAAGCATTAATAATTATATTGGATATTGTAATTATATCACTTTTCGTACGCTTATAAGCTTATAATAGTTAAAAATAAATTTTCAAATCGATTATGTACTATTAATACTAAGAAATTGCCAATGTTTACCAAAAAACAATCAGCTAGGTTCCTGATATCTTCCAATTTCTGAATTTTTAAAGTAAAACTTCTTTAGCCACGACTAGTGTGTAAATCTGTGCAAATGCAACGAAAGAGCGTTACGATCGAGTCGAGTGTCAATGAATGATTCGTCATTCGTTCTCGATGAGATCGTTTCTATACGGATCGATTGTGATTGGTCGTCGTGTCGCGTGAGAGTGTTCTTTAATTGTATGCGTATGCGTAGAATGTCTCCGCATATAGTGAAAATAATAAAACAAATGAAAAATCTGTTGAAATGAAAAAGTTTTACTTCAATCGCGCACTCTTTTTAAGATCGGTTCAAGATTTTTGGCAATTTTTTCTTTTCATCAAGAAAAGGTTAGGCTGATTGTCGCACAATCATCTAGCCGATGAAATAATCGGCGCAGCCGTTCAATTCTTGAAAATATGAGATAAGGTTCTGGAAAGCCTTCATTCTAACTCGGATCGATTAGGTTTTGTTTATGCATGTTTACATTTCTTGTAAACCACATCCACTAACCACGTGATCGAGTTTTAAGGAGTTTTGAACCTTGGCTCCTTCTGAAGGAGCTATTCATGGTGATATTTAAAATAAACCCTTTTTTCCCACCTAACATCACGTATCTTGTTAGTAACTAGAAGAATCTTAGTAACTAGTAAATAAATGAAATCGGTGCAGCAGTTTTTTTTTCAGAAACTTCGAATAAAGATCATATTTTAGCCTATACATATACAAACAACACCCTCACTCATACCCACATACCCAGACTTGGTGTCAAACGATAAAGAATGTCTTGAAATGTCGAGAGTACATAAAAATATCGAAAACAAATATCTTCTTGGAAACACAATCGAAAAAAAAATGCTGCATGTATGTCATAATTTAATAAATATTAGTTATTACTCATTACAATGTATCACAAAATATCTCATTAAAAGCGCATATTGATAGTCAAGTATTTCAGTTCAGAATATAATTAAAATTACAAAATATAATTAAACAATGATCCAATCAATTTCCGTATAACTAATTTTGTATGTAATGTTAAAATGTGCATAAATAATTTAAATTTATACAGAACACGTGCAGTTGCAGTAGTCCTTATCTATTCAGGTTAGTTATATTGATTATTAATGGTATAAGTGCTTAAGTTAATAACTTTTAATGACTTATACTAATAAAATGTAGAACCACTAAATAATTTGTTTTAGATAATAAATAAATCAAAATTATGAAGTAAGAAATTGATAATTGAAATTTGTTTTCAAAACATTACATTATATATTATTTAAAAGAAAATACTCTATATTTTTTAACAAGTCATGGTAAAAGATGGATATTAAATAATTAACATTATAATCTACATCCAAAACAGAAAATCCAATTGATATTTCAAAAAATACTAAAAAAATAATTAATAAAGCGAGCATAATTCAATATTGAGAACTAATAGATTTTTTTAATAATCAGTTAAAATAGAGCATATTGACAAAAATAAAAATGCTATATTTTATTATTAACTATAGTTGAAAAAGTGACTTGCAAAAATTCAGTTGCGATCCTGAATTGCAAGAAGAAAATGAGAAAAATTTAGACAGATTTTTGAAATAAAAAAGTAATGAATGATTTAGAAACATAAATTATTATAGTTTAATTTATGATTTTATGAAAACATATATGTATATAAAGTATGTAATAATGTTTATAGAGTATGATTTGTAAAATACATTAAAGTGTGAAATGCCAGAAAAATGTAAAAAAATATTTAAATAAAAAATAAAGATTCTTATAAAATGCTTTCGTATCCATGTTGCAAACTGACCATGTTTTTCAAACACTTTATTGTTCATTAAGACAAAGGTCAGACATGATTATTTATTTACATAAATTAAAAGAGAATTGCATCAATAATTCTTTAATATAAACAGAAAATTGTTAAAAATTCATCAAAAATTTGAATCTATAAGTAAAAATTCTATAAGTACAGTACTAGAACTTTATAATAAAGTAAAGTTATAATAGTTAACTTTACAAGAACTAAGAGAAGAATTATTATAAGGTCAAATTTTGGTTCACACTCATATTCTTTCCAAATTTGGTATCAAACGATTCAGAATAACTTGAAAACTTGAGTTGAGTTAGCAAATCGGATTTCCTGGTATAAACAAAGTTCTCTTTCGGGAAGTCAATATCAAAAGAAAGTTCAAAGACAAATATGTGCATTTTTCAAGGGATTTCTATTTAATTTTCATGTCAATCAATAATTATTGAAGGCATATGTTATTCATTTTAAATTTTAAGTTTTTATACGTTAAATCCAGAGCTTGAGAGTATTATTTATAATTGTTATCTTTTGTACATAAGAAAAGATAAAAAGAATTTTTTTTGAATTTTATGATGAAATAAGAAAATGCGACATATTGTACAAACCCCAAAAATATTAATGTACGTTTATATATATACAAACATAAATTGTACATTGTCTTAGCATTTTGTAAAACTGTTTTATAGTAGGACCTTGACTTTGAAAAACAAACTGGATGCAAAAAAGATAAAGGTAAAGGTAAAAGTAAAGGTACCTTTATTACATCCAATTTTTAAAAAAATAAAGGTGCTAATATAAAATATTTTTTAAAAATGTCTCAGACAACGTACAATTTATGATTGTATATAACCTGACATCGGTCCATTTTCACTTGAAAATTAGATCAAAAGTATGTTTCCAATTGAAAAGAGCCCATTTTGGGCACTGCGATATAAAATGGCAATGGAAAATTTCTCACACTATTCTTCCTTGAATCGAGTTGAAATTTAACTCGGCTCACAAACCTACCTTTTATTTTCCTATTTTATCATAAAATTCAACAGAATTCTTTTTATCTTTTCTTAGGTACAAAAGATAACAAATATAAATACATATAAATATGTTAAGCTCAGGATGTGACCAATAATAAATAAATGTTGAAGATGCACGATGATAAAATATTAAAAAGACAGTCAATATAATTTTTAACCCGCTCGATTTAATTTTTGAATTTTGATTTTCAATTCCTATAACGAAATTATTTGTTTGATTTTAGGTTTTTAAGAATTTTTAGGAGATACATATATAAATATAAATATATATATATATATATATATATATATTAAAAATATTATCATCATAACCATTAAGCCATATTTATTAAGAACAAATTTCTCATAATTGCAACGCCAGCAAAAATACTTCGTCTCATATATCTTGCAAAATCCAAGAACATATAATACTAACGAAATAAATATAATTGTAATATAAATAATATGTACTTAAAACTTAGTAGATTGCCATATTTAACATTAAAAAAAAAAATATTTTAATATTATTGAGAAGAAACACCTACTACTTTGAGCAAATACATCTTAATTTATATTAATATTGTAATGATATATAATTATGTTTGGCCAATTGTAAACTTATATAATAATATAAATTTTTATAAATCATGTAAATGACTAATTTACAAACAGGAAACTGAATAAACTCATATTTAAGAAAAAAAACTTATAAATCTCTAAGTTATATATACAACTGTGAAGAATTTCTTACATTGCAAAGTATTTATGCTGACGTGTACACGTTCTCTTTTATGTTCCACAACAAAACACAGAAATTTGAATTTCAAAAACAAAATAATCGATTGGAAAAACATTAATGGAAGGAGAAAAAACATTAATGGAATAGAATTGTAATTCCGTCTATAAATAACGATAGATTAGAAGAAAACTATAAACATCACATATGTTGCTCGTATAATGATATTTAATGTTAGTTGTTTGAACATTTTTATAAACGTTCACCTAATAATCTGCGATTAAGGTAAATTCCTAATACCTCTCGTTTTATATAAATAAATATATTTTTTTTAATTTCATTTTCTTTTAAAATTCTGTAATTATTTAAAAAAATCTTTTAGAGATTTATGGACATTTTTGCATACTTCAGAAAAAGTGGATAAGCCTTTGTGTGGATGAGTGCTTGTGTGTGTGTATGTATGTATGTATGGATACAGTTTTTGGTCCACATTTTCGGGCGATTTGAATTGTTCAAAAAACATTCGATTCCTATCGATAGAGAGATGTGCTGATTAGTTTTTGGCGAAGCCAGCTCCAGCCGTTACGGAGATACGGAGCAAAGAGTGCAGAAAATAGAAATCGAGTTTTTAAAAAAACGGAGCATCAAATTTGAATGATCCAAAAAGTGATCAATTTGTAGTGATGGAGATAAGTGGTGATTAGTTTTTGGCAAAGGCAGGTCCAGTGCTTTCAGAGATACAGAGCTAAATGTGCAAAAAATTGCAATTTTTGAGAGAACTAAACGTCCGATTTGAATGATTCAAAGAACTTGCTGCTTGCTTTAACAAAATAATTGCTTTTGGGAAAAAAAAATTTGTTTCAATTTTATGTTCTTTTTTTGTATATCGAAAATAATTTAGATTTTAATTGTAATTCTGACTTAAATTCTAATATACTTTAAACAAATAATTTCAACTTTGCAATTCCATGTATATAATTCTTATAAATATTAGATAATGTTACAGTATTAATTTATATTATAATAATCAATTTAAAAACATGTAATATTCCTCGAA